GAGAAGTATTATTTTCTACTTTTTAGTCCATTTATAAAAGCGTTGTATATTAAAAAGTTTTTTTTATATTATTTATTTGTATTTCAGGTGACGATATAAGCTTTTATGAAGGAATGTTTTAGTCATCATTATGATGAACTTATTAAAGTACTTACCGAAGTAAAAGCTGACAAATTAAAAGAATAACAGCGGTTGATTGTTTTAATTCTAATCGGGATATCGAATTGCGCCATCATCAGTAACATTAAGCGTCGATTAATTCGGTTGCAATGGGTCCATTCCGATGAGTACAACGAAAAAGGTAGTTCTGAACTTCTGATCGAAACCTCATTAGCAAAGTAACATAAAATAAATATTTGGGTCAGCATGCAAAGTTGATAAACAAGGAATTTCATAAATGTCGCATAATCATTAGGATCGGTAAGCTGCAATTGTAGAGGAAATACAAGTATGAATTAGATAAGCATATCAGGTACTAGGAGAACACCTACGAAAGTCATTGCGTAGAAATTAGCAACAAGTACAAACACAGAGCTTATCACTTGCACAGACATTGGAGTGCTTAATAGATCCTCCATGATTTCTGTAATATCCAGCAGTTTATTATAGTAGCGAATGCAGTCTTTTAATTGCATGTTAATGACATCTTGCGTAGTATCCTTGTCAGTAGGAATATTTTCCAGCCGGTTCGATAATATATTTAATTGGCCTCTCAGATATATAAAGAACGACGCACTTAATGAATCGAAAGATATATTGATAAAACAACAAAGCGATGCTCCGATAAACTGAAACAAGTATGCTAATATAAAGAACCAAATGTTTTCGACATTCATCGGTATGTAAATTGATAGCGGTAGTTCGCCAGGATCTGATACTAGTTGCCTAACAAATACCAAGGATAGGGATGTCAGTGAAAGATACATGTAGCAGTTGCGAACTTTGCAACTTAGTTGCAGTGATTGTGTGAATGTTTCCATTTCAAATTTATTAACCGGGAGTAGGTCATCGTCGTGCATCCGTGCGAATAATGCCAAGAATGAACTGGTTTTTATACGAATATGCACGAATTTGGCCATTACAGCAATAGCCATTGAGCATACGTAAAACACTTTGATTATCTCGTTCAAATCCGTTATGTTGCTAATTATCTTAATCCACATGCTGGCGTCGAAAAGAAAAATCCAAAAGATGGCTACGTACCAGAAGTACATCTTAAACAGAAAGTGCACACGGGCCGGATAGTGGGCTGGCAGATCAAAAAGGCCCAGGCACTTAAAAAATATAAATTGTTCCTTGTAAAACGAGTCGACAATCTCTTTCGCTCTTTCCATTATTTTCAAAACACTATTTGCTATTTAAAATGGAACTGCTTTTCAAGGGAAATCAATTGACCTTTTATTGTAAAATCCAATCCAGTATATTTCACGTATGAGTGTGTTGCTAATGACTTTGCCAATAGCTTAATAAAATATTTACACTGAGATTCACGTTAGGAAATATTTTATAAATAAAATCCTAAGAACAAGCATTATGTACATAAATATTACTATACGTACATATATGTGTGTATTTCAAATAGGGATTTATCGTACAGTCGAATTTCTCTACAACGAACTTCTACAAGAATAAACCTTTCTTTTCCTTTCAACTGACATTATTACCTTTTCAAAAAATGAAATAAAATCCATTGATATTATTGGGTCTAAGATACAACAAAGGCACGACCTTCATCCATCTGTTTAATAGATGAAATTTTTTTTTCCAAGAAATTTAACGTGTTAATAAATATTTTACGAGTGAGTTGGCTGGAAAATATTCAAAAATTACCATTATTTTTTTAATTTTGTTTAATGAACAAATTATATACCAATCGAAGTTATTAAGAATGTAAAACGTTGGGTTGTCTATCTTTTTCCTGACCTACCGATCGGGCTGGCAGGTATGAACAGATAGATAATACTAATAATTTTCATTTGTCTGTTTAACACATTCCATACACTTTATGCTTTCGATTGGTATATATATAATTTGTTCATTAAACAAATGAGTGCAAAAAAAAATAATAAAAATTTTTGAATATTTAATTAAAAATATCCTGCCCAGGATTTTTTTCAGCCAACCCACTCGCGAAATATTTCTTTACACGTTAAATTTCAGATGCACTGAGCCAAAAGCACAACGGTTTTTTCAACCAAGTTATGGTTTGATTTTTTCACGGTCAATAAATGTGATTCAAATTGAAAATTTGAGAACAAATTCGTATGTATGTATGTATGGTATTATTTGGTCTTAGATCCAACAAAGGCACGACCTTCACCCATCTGTTTAACAGATGAAATATTTTTTTCCAAGGAATGTAACGTGCTAATTATTTTGCGGATGGGTTGGCTGAAAAAATCCTGGCCAGGATATTATTAATTCAATATTAAAAAATTACTATTATTTTTTTAATTTTGTTTAATGAACGAATTATATACCAATCGAAGGTAATAAGTCTATAGAATGTGAAAACGTTGGGTTGTCTATCTTTTCCTGACCTACCTATCGGGTTGCCAGGTATGAACAGATAGGTAATACTAATAATTTTCACTCATCTGTTTAACACATTCCATAGGCTTTATGCTTTCGATTGGTGTATATATAATATGAATATTTAATTAAAAATATCCTGGCCAGGATTTTTTCAGCCAACCCACTCGCGAAATATTTCTTTACACGTTAAATTTCAGATACGCTGAGCCAAAAGCACAACGGTTTTTTCAACCAAGTTATGGTTTGATTTT